ATGAAGGTTTTGTTAAAGTATGAATATTTTATCATTTAAGACTCAATAATTTATGTTTTGCTCTTAGTATAAGAAATTTTGAGGAGTTATAATATGTGAAGAGAATAAGGACACTCTAAGTAAAATTGATTATTTTGTTAAATTTTTTAAGAAACACTTTACACTTAGAAGATTATTCTTGTTTTTTTTCAAATTGTTATTTGAATAATTTTTCTTTATTCTGAGTTTGCTATTATTTCTATACAATATAATTTTGTTATATTCTCATTGAAGATGAACATAAACTTGAATTTGTATAAGGACCATTATGGTTTTAAATATACCCTTAATATTTAAATAAATTTTTAATATAAATCTCTTTGTATTATTATGTGTATATAACTGTATATATTATTAAATTATGTAAACAAATTAATTATTATGAGTATATTGTAAAATGTAGTAGATGGAGAATTTTAAAACCTTTAAAAATATAAAATAAACTTTGAGAGAATATTTAAAGTGAAAGTTAAATATAAGATGAAATATAAGTAGTTATAAAAATTTAAGTGTAATAGAATGATTTTTATTTTTTTTATAAAAATACTAATTATTTGAAAATAAATTATTTGACATAAAAATTATTTAATTAAAATTTTACAGTTTTTGAAAATATTTTGTTTACTGTTTAAATAGATGCGGTGTAAGAATTTTAAATTACGTTTTCCAAATTCAACTTTACTAATTTATAAATATAATTACATAATCATATAATAAAGTGAAAGTTTTACAATCACAATCATAAACACATTTTTAATTTAGTCCAAATAAAATATAATTTATATAGACTTGAGTATATTTTTGAAGACTGTATATTCTAACTTTTACCGTTCTTTCTTTTACTGGGAACTGCGTCTTCTTCTCCTCCGCATCTCCCAGTCGGTGAAGGCTGAGTGGTTCAGGGAGAAAAGAAGCTGTGTTCTCTCAGTTTAATGCTTGAAGAGCCTCTACATGATGTCAGAACAACTCCACCTTTGATGGGGTGTCAGAACAAGTCCCACATCGTGTGATTTCGGATATTAAAAGAAGTTTATACAAAGTTAGAGTCAGCCAGACTGTGTCCCTTCGGGGACATCCGATAAAATTGGAATGATACAGAGAAGATTAGCATGGCCCCTGCGCAAGGATGACACGCACAAATCAAGTAATGGTCCAAATTTTTTTTATATTTAAATCTTTTAAACTCATTTTGTTATATTTTGTTTGTTGCATAGAGTGCTTCTTTATTCTCTTCATTTTGACTTGCATATAAATCTGTGTCTGATGATTTTGTGTGAACCTGATGAATAAGTTTTATAATTTCTTTCCAGAAAAACAATTGGTTTGATCACTTTATGCAACAATTAGTGAAATTGGAATATGCTCTTTATACAACGTTCAGTTAGAACTTACACAGATTGCTATTTAAGATTCACTTGTTAGTTTATTTAACGGTTTTTTTAATGTGTCCAAGGGAACACAATTAAAACCTAATCACATGACATCACAGAATTTAACTCAGTTAATAACATTAAAGGCTATAATTTTCAATTAAAAGTCACTATTTATTGATTTCTTATTATGTGTTTTTGGGAAAATGTTAAAAAAATCGTTTACCTAAAAAATTGAATTTGTTATTTACAATGTACAGATAACCCACATTTGTTCTAATTACATCTTTGCTTTTCTTTTCAGTGAGAAAAGTAAAGGAGCTAAAAGAGTTGTTTTGCAATCCAAACCCAGTCAGGCATTTGAAAGGTGATTAATTCGCTATTGATATAAATGCTTTAGTAGGAATATTTATATTGTGACTAGGGAGCACCCTTTTTCATCTTGATTCTTCTGTGGTTTATTGTTGATTTTATTTTTCTTTTGGTTTATTAATTATGTTCCATCTCTTGTTATAGCTGTGTGAAAAATATATTGCAGAATTTGTGCTGGTTGCAATGCCATGATTGGATATGTAATATTTTTGAGTTACATGGAGCTGTTTGGCATCTAAAATGCTTTTGTTGCCATGCTTCAAAAAACTGCTAATAATTTATAATGAGGTGAAAGTCTTTGGTTGCTGTATGCTCCACACAATGAATTGAATCTTGACATGTTTAAACCTTGTTCTAATATTCATATATGATGGAGATCCTTAACTTATTTCCTTAATTTTAATGTTAAATATGATAGTAAATAATGGTTGAATCACCACTACCATAAACCCTGCCATAAAGGAGCTGCATAACCCAAGATGTGATGTTTACAAGAACTTTGCAAGTATTCGGACAATTGGATGTTGTATCTTAGTAACAGTATTTTAATCTCCAAACCTAAAATTTGGAGCTGAAGAAAGAATTGCACTGCAAATAAGTGATGCACTCATATATTGTTTTCTGTTTAATATTTTAAGTTTGTAAGCTACACATACAATATGGTAGGATTATGGAATTTAGGGATATAACTTCACTACGGTGGAGAGGGGGGCGGGGGTTCATTAATCATTAAGATACAAAGCAAATGAATGATGAAAAATCTTAACAGAATCTCCCCTCAAAGCATGCAAAAAACTCCCTTAGTATAGGATATCACTTTAGCCTCCCTTACTTTGAATTTCATCATATGAATAGCTTTGTTGTGTAAATTGTTGTTCATACTGTGCTGACAATTTTTCTTTTCAAGTGAATTGAAATATGTCAAATTACACTATCAGGTATCACGGGAGATCAATATGATATCTCACAGGACCAAAACTAGCGGTTACTGTAATTAGGAATAGTTGTCACATTAATTAGGAGATTTGATTGTATATGATTATATTTGAACTGATTTTGATACTCTAATCAGTAATTATAAGTGGAGCACATATGTATGCCTCTAAAACATAACAAGATTCAAACACATTTTTCCTCTTTTTCTATATAGTATTAGAGCCTGTGGTAAATTTGATTTTGGGCCATCCTTGACTAAATATTAAAAAAAAAAGAACACACTGATTTTTGGTGCAATTAATTTGGCCTCGTAGATTTTCCAATGGAACTTACTGGCCTCAACAACTTTCTCAGTGCAGCCTGCTTGACTCTGCAAATTTTAAGTGCAATATTGAAAAAACTCAATCTTACAATTTACACACTAAATATCTAAGGCAGGATGTTAAAGTCCCACATCAACTACAAATAAAACAAAATGAGAGCTTATAAAGGTTACAATAACTTTAACTTAATAGCTAACAATTGGGAAAGAATTAGATCCAAAGTCCGAATTTAAGAATTTTATTTAGGTGAGGTATAATAAGAGTTATAGGGTGAACCTAAATTGCTACGGACTCTGATTTACAACCACAACGAGTATATAGTTTGCCTCTCAATTCTCATTTAAGAGCCCAACAGAACTTGTTCGCTGTAGCCACTGTTGTGCATGATAGTGTGTCAAAGTTTCGAGTACCAAAATGACAGCCAAAGAGTTTCAAATAAAAACCAATTGTAGCAGCTTGCTCTATTTATTATTTGGTCAAAGGGATAACTATTTTGTGTTGAAGAAGATGGTCACACAAGTTTCCATCATGAAGTTCTATACTTCAAACAGTAAGCCATTAATATAGTTATTAGTTTAGTATTGTACCACACACACACACATATATATATATATATATATATATATATATATATATATATATATATATATATATTTCCACTCATCAAGAGTTGGATGCAGTTTTTGATATGCATGACATTATATTCAGTATTACACACCTTGTTTTGATTTTATTCCTTTCATCATTTCATGGTACCAGAGCGTTCTTTTTAAGAGAGCTCTGTTGCGCTCTCTGATACAATGGCTAAAAATTTCAATTCTGCCAACAATTGTGACTCTAATTCAACACAAAACTCTGCCAACAATGGAGGTAATTCTGATTTAACACAAAACCCTACAAACCTTACTACTTGCACCCTGGAAAGAATCCAGGAACACTTCTTGTTTCACCTCAACTAGATGGTGTAAACTACCACTCATGGAGTAGGTCCAGGAAACGAGCTTTATTGACAAAGAATAAATACAAATTTGTTGATGGTTCAATCATGCCTCTTGATCTTAATGATCCTCTTTATGATTCTTGGGAAAGATGCAACACAATGGTTGTATCTTGGATCATTAGATCATTGAATCAACAGATTGCACAAAGCACGATTTACATTGACAATGCCAAGGATCTTTGGGATGATCTGAAGACAGATTCTCAGAAGGTTGATCATTTTCGAATTTCAAACTTATTACAAGAAATACATTCGATCAACCAAGGAGAAAGAACAATGTCATTATACTTCACTGATCTGAAAACCATATGGGAAGAATTGGAGTCCCTAAGACCAATTCCTTCTTGACACTTGTGTGGTGAGATGCAGTTGTAGTCTAGCCAAAGCAATCAAGAAATACAGAGATATAGAGAATGTTATTTGCTTCCTCAAATGATTAAATGATCATTACACTACAATTAGTGTTAGGTACTCCTTATGGAACCATTACCAACCATTAACAAAGTGTTTTCTCTAGTTTTATAACAAGAAAGACAGATCAGTAATACCTTGCGGGGAGAACCCAATTTTTTTTTCAACTTTCTAAACAAAACACAAATTGGAGACTACCATCTGATAGAGGAACATTTGGAAATAGAGGAGGAGGCAGGTTCATTAAGGGAAGTCATTGCACAAACATAAACAAGATCTGCACATTCTGCAAAAAGGAAAGACATGCAACGAAAACATGTTATTTCAAATATGGATTCCCCCCAAATTTCAAGTATAAGTTGAAAAAAGAAAATGTTGCAATTAACCATGTAGAGTCCAAGGATAATTTAGAAGCACCAAACTAAGGAGAATCCTCCAACCTTAGCAAAACAGCTAACATGACTTTCAGCCCAGAACAGTGTGTGCAGATTCTTGCCATCCTACAAAGATCAAATCTTGAGCTCAATCATGTAGTGAATCAAGTAACCCATGGTAGTGCTGATGGTTTGACAAATTATCAGCAAACAATTGAACAAAACCCAGGTAAGCCTTCAAACCTCTTATACTGGATTCTTGATAGTAGAGCCACAGATCATGCGTGCAATTCTATAGCTTGTTTTGACACAGATAAATTCCTATCACTGAAATTGCCAAATGGTGCAACTACTAATTTCAAAGAAAATATATTTGCTTGATGTTTTTTATATACCAAAAATCAAGTATAATTTGATTTCTATTCACAAATTAACTGAGTCAAATGAGTGCAAATTAATTTTTAGTCAAAATTCTTGTCTGATACAGGACTCTCAAACGGTGAAGATGATTGGGCTTGCTGAATTTAGAAACAATCTATATGTCACTTTGCTAAACAATGTAAGCTACCTTTTCCTATTAGTAATAGTAAAACTTTAAATATATTTGATCTCATACATGTCGATATGTGGGGGCTCCTCAGCATAAACTCATTAGATGGTCATAAATACTTTCTTACTTGTGGTAGATGATTTTAGTAGACATACATGACTGTTCCTACTGTAACAAAATCTGAGACTAGCATTTTAATCAAGAATTTTGTTGCTTTAATTAAAATTCAGTTTCATAAGACAATTAAAATCATTAGATCAGATAATGGAAATGAGTTTTATATGGCTGATTTTTATGCTCAAAATGGTATAATTCAACAAACAAGTTGTATAGGAACACCGCAACAGAATTCTGTTATAGAAATGAAGCATATACACATTCGAAATGTGACAAGATCTCTTCTTTATCGGTCAAACATACCTAGGATATATTGGTGCTATGCAGTTACATATGCTATACATTTGATAAAAGATTACCTTCTAAGATTTTGCAAAATAAAACTCCGTTCAAAATACTATATGGGAAGCCTCCAACACTGTTGGACTTAAAGGTGTTTGGAAGTTTAACTTATGCATCAACCATTACACATAATAGGAACAAACTTGATCCTAGAGCCCAAAGATGTGTATTTGTGGGGGTAAAATCAGGAATAAATGGATATGTTGTTATGGAAATAAAGTTTAGACAAATTTTTATATCTATAAATGTTATATTCTATGAAAACTTCCTTATAAAGTTCTTACTCACGACCAATCAAATGGCATTGTAGAACATTCACATGAGAATATTAATTTCCTGTTATATGATAAAGTGAATTTTGCACCTATTGAAGCTAATTAAATTAATACAATTTAGAATAATAACTCTTTTAATGAACAACATCCTAAACACTTTAGAAATTGCCAACACCCAACAACAATGGATCAATAGAAGCTGAGAATGAACCTCAACTAAGGAGATCTAATAGAGCAAGACATCCACCTATTTATCTTCATGATTTTCACCGCAATACAATGGTTTCTTCATCAGGTGAATCAGATCTCCAAGTAAGATATCCTTTGTCCTCTGTATTATTTTATAAATCTTTATCCACATCACATTTATGTTATACACTTTGTATTTCAATAGATTTAGAACTTAAGAATTATAAGGAAGCTATAAAGTCTCAATATTGGATAGAAGCCATGCTGAATAATGAGTTAAAAGCTCTAGAACAAAATCATACTCGGGATATAATTGATTTACCATTAGGTAAGAAAACCATAATGAGTGTATAAGATAAAATATAAATTTGATGGAAGTATAGAAAGATATATAAACAAGATTAGTAGCAAAGGGATACTCGCAAATAGAAGGATTAGATTATTTTTATACGCTTGCTCCTGTAGCTAAAATTTCTACTATGAGAATTTTTTTGGCTGTTGCAGCTTGCCGAAATTGGAAGTTGGAGCAATTAGATGTCAACAATGCATTCTTGCATGGAGATTTAAATGAAAAAGTGTACATAGACATTCATGAAGGGGTATTCTACGTAAAGCCCAATCAAGTTTGTAAACTTTAGAAATCTTTGTATGGATTCAAGCAAGTTGGGCGACAATGGTTTGAGAAATTATTTGTTTGTTTGAAATCTCTAGGATACAGGCAATCACAACATGATCACTCATTGTTTACCAAATGTTCTCATAACTACTTTATTTCTCTCCTTGTGTATGTGGATGAGATCATACTAGCTGGGATAGATAATTTAGAAATTTTCTTTATTAAATAGGAATGAATAGCCGTTTTAAGGTAAAAAATCTAGGTCCATTAAAATATTTTCTTGGATTGGAAGTGGCAAGATCAAGCAAGGGAATTTTGTTATGTCAAAGAAAGTATGTCAGTACTTTCTATCTGAAATGGGACTTTTAGCATCCAAACCAGTCGGTACCCCTATGATAAAAACAACAAAATTCTACCAAAATGATTATGAGCCTTATCCTGATGTTCATTGATATAGAAAACTAGTTGGGAACTTTTATACTTAACTACAACAAGACCAGACATCACCAACAATGATTCAATACAAAGGGATTATTCATGATTTAAGGTATCTCAGAGGAACACCTAGAGAAGGGATTTTTTATCTGATAACCTCAAATATGCAATTAAAGGCGTTTAGTGACTTAGACTAGGCCTCTTGTTATGATACAAGAAAATTAGTGACAGGTTACAGCATGTTCTCAAGAGACTCCCTAATATCATCGAGATCAAAGAAGCATAATACAATATCGAGATTGATAAATGCTTTCTATACTTGATCCTACATTGTACTTCATGAATGATAATTGAGAGTTTTAAGCTATTCATTGATAAAATTTACTATTATTAATTTCATTTTATTTATATTTCAGGAAAAAGGATCAAGAAGTGAAAACCTTAAAGATGTCGAGAATTGAAGAAAAAAAGAAACCAGAGATATACACAGGCAAGTACATGCCCATGTATATGAGCGTGTATCTCACTGGTCGCGTCAATTGAAGTGTATCATCAAGACCAGAGATGTACACGGCCAGATACATGGCCGTGTACATGAGCGTGTACTTTTATGGAAAGCTTTGAAAGGCATTTATTAAAAAAACAGAGATGTACACGGCCAAGTACATGGTCGTGTACTTTTACGCTCAGAAATTTAACTTTTGCGAGAAAATTAACCCTAGGATAATTTCTATAAAAGGAGAACTGAACTCAAACCTAAGAGAGGCGGTTTTTGGACACGAAAGACTCAGAGACGGCAAGAGGATGGGATTAAGCATTTTATTTCATCTCTTTTGTAATTTTAATTTCAAGATGTTTAGGTTCTAACTTTCTTTTGAGTATCTAGACGTAATGAATCCTAATTGACTAAATTTTCTGGAATTCTTCTAATGCTATTTCATGTTCTTTTCTCTTGGGTTTAATTGAGTAGTATTAATTTTCTCTATCTTGTTTTCTTGTTTGAATTTGAGTAAAATTCTTGCATGAATTTAACATTGCTCAATTAAAAAGACTTGAATGTATTTCTAGAGATAGAAAGACGTGAGTTTTCTGTATTAGGATTAACCCTAATTATGGAATTCATAATGAATTTAATGCAGCCTAGGGGTATTAATTAAGGAAGAGATTCTGATTAATCAACTGAGGGTTAGGAATCATTATCCTTGAGAAAGGTATTGATTTAATTTGGAATTTCCTGCAGCGATAAGGGTTTGGAACTAAGTAGTTGAAGAAGAATTTCAGTTATTTGGACACTTAAGGGGATTTACAGTCTAGATACTTGCCTTTTTATATTGAATACCTTTAGTCATAATTTTTTATAATTTATTTTCAATAGAATATCTGTTTCTTTTAATTTATTATTCTTTTACTTTTAGCAATTTCATCAACAAGGTTTATTTCTCATATTTATTAACAATTACGCAATTAAGGAAAAGTTTCTTAATAACAGTCCCTGTGGATACGACACTTGGTACTTTAATTTTAATTTTAATAATATTACTTCGACAACGGGTACACTTGCCCAGTGATCAGTTTTTACACACCAAGTTTTTGGCGCCGTTGCCGGGGACTGTTTAATTAGGATTCCCTTTATTACGTAGTTACTAATTTTATTTATTTCTTTAATCTTGAATTAACTTAACTATTTTGCTTTCATTCTTTTTAGGAGTTGATTTTTCTAGTGTATGATCAAAACCCGTTCTACAGCACTATCTGAAGAGCTATTTGAATTTGACCCAAAAATCGAAAGAACTTTGCAAAAAATTCAGAAAGAGAGACGACTGCTAGTATAGAGGGAAAACGCACAAACACACATGGAAGAAATGGCAAACAACGAAGATCAACTAAGGACCATGTCCGATTATGCTCGTCCATCATTAATAGGGACAGAGTCTAGCATTGTTCGTCCGGATGTGCAAGGGAATTTTGAAATAAAGCCCAATGTTATTCAGATGGTTTAGCAGTTTGTCCAGTTTGATGGGTTACAAGACGAAGACCCCAATGCTCACATTGCAAATTTTCTAGAAATTTGTGATACTTTCAAGATCGATGGAGCTATTGATGATGCAATCCGCTTGAGGCTATTTCCATTTTCTCTCAGGAGCAGAGCAAAGCAATGGTTGAATTCTCTCCCACGAGGGTCTATCACTTCATGGGAGGCTATGGCAGAAAAATTCTTGGCAAAATATTTCCCTCCCGCGAAAACTGCCAAAATGAGGAACAATATCTCTTCCTTCTATCAGTTGGAGTCAGAGACATTATACGATACATGGGAGAGGTTCAAGGAATTGTTGCGGAAATGCCCACATCATGGGATTCCGGACTGGCTTCAAGTGCAAACCTTCTACAATGGATTAAACCCAGCCACAGGACAAATGATAGATGCTGCAGCTGGGGGCACTTTAAATAGCAAGACACCAAGGGCTGCACAAGAACTGTTTGAAGAAATGGCAATGAACAGCTATCAGTGGAGCTCCACTCGATCCAAACCTGCAAAATCGGCGGGGATCTATAGTCTTGATGCAGTAACATCCTTAGCAATGCAAGTGGAAGCCTTAGGGAAGAAGATTGATGGTCTATCTGTTAACCATCAAGTTGCTCCGGTAATGAGATGTGATATTTGCGGAGGAGGCCACCCTAATCATGAGTGTCGAGCTACTCAGGAAGAATATGCCAATGTGATAGGAAACATACCACCTTACCAAAATTATAATAGCATGAATAATCCGGGCTGGAGGAACTATGCAAACCAACCATGGAACAACAACCAACAGCCAATGCGGAACAACACACTCCCAGGATTTCAACAAGCTTCACATCCACCACTACCCCCAGCTGAAAAGAAGTCAAACCTTGAGGAGTTGATGACCAAATTCATTCAAACTTCAGAATCTCGGTTCCAATCCACTGAGACAGCACTAAGAAATCAACAAGCCTCTATTCATAATTTAGAAATTCAGTTGGGTCAAATTTCTAGACTCCTCTCGGAAAGACCCCAAGGAAGCTTGCCTGGCAATACTGAGACTAATCCTAGGGAGCAAGTCAATGCAGTAACATTAAGGAGTGGCATAACATTACAAGAGAAGGGGAAGCAAGAAACAGAAAAAGATGCAGTTGGAGAGGAGGATAAATGTCAAGAGGAGACTGTGGAAAAGCCCCCTGTAGTGAAAGAATTCATACCCCCACTTCCCTATCCAGCTAGATTGAAGAAGGACAGAGACAATGAACAGTTTGGTAAATTTCTTTCCTTATTTCGTCAGCTTCATATTAATTTACCGTTTGTTGATGCCTTGGCACAGATGCCAAAGTACGCCAAATTTCTGAAGGATCTACTGTCCAACAAGAAGAAATTGGAGGAGTTGGCCACAGTAACTCTGAATGAAGAATGCTCAGCAATTCTGCAAAACAAGATGCCCGAAAAATTAAAGGATCCAGGGAGTTTTACTCTTCCTTGTCTCATTGGTAGATTGATAGTTGATAGGGCTTTAGCTGATTTAGGTGCTAGCATTAATTTGATGCCATATTCTGTTTTTAAGAAATTAGGTTTAGGGGAACCTAGGCCAACTAGGATGAGTATTCAATTAGCTGATAGGTCAATTAAATATCCTAGGGGTATCATTGATGATGTGCTTGTAAAAGTAGACAAATTTATTTTTCCTGTTGATTTTGTGATTCTTGATATGGACGAGGACACTAATGTTCCCTTGATCTTAGGTCGTCCATTTTTAGCTACTGCAGGGGCTATAATTGATGTGAGGGATGGAAAGTTAATTTTGAGGGTTAGAGATGAAAAAGTCACTTTCAAAATTCCTGATGTGATAAAAAAGTCTTTGAAACAAGATGATTCTTGCTACTTTATTAATGTAATTAATGATTATGTTTCTGATTGTGCACAGGAATTCTTGATTTCAAACCCATTGGAAAGAAGCTTAGTTCATGATAGAGGAAAAGATGATATGAGCTTGGTAACTCAAGAACAATGGTGTCATTTAGAAGCCACTAAGCCATTATGGAGAAAGAGAGACTTCAAAGTTTTGGAGTGGAAATCAGAGAAGCAACGCAACTCATCCATTAATGAACCGCCAGATGAAAAATTGAAGGTCTACCATCATAAAAAATTCAAGGGAGGTAAACTATTTCAAAAAGGTGATTTAGTACTGTTGTACAACTCTCGCCGCAAATTATTCCCAGGTAAACTCAAATCCCATTGGTCTGGACCGTTTACTGTGCATAAGGTATTTCCTTGTGGTATAATTGAATTAACTCATCCAGAAAAAGGAAATTTTAAGGTGAATGAACATAGGCTGAAACTGTACCAAGGGGGTCAACTGCAAACTTTTGCAAATGAGGAGTTTAAACTCCTCCATGTTGAATGTTGCATGTTGAATGTTGAATTACATTGAATAGTTTAGGTTAGGTAGGTTTAGTTTATTTTAATTTAGTTATTTATTTGCTCATTTATTTATATTTTGAATAAGTGTCCTCGCCCCAGCATGAACCCTATCTCCTTCTGACCACTTTCTTAGTATAGATGATGAGTAGTTTAGTCTGCAATTAGGAGTCTTAGTTGTTGAATTTTTTACTTATGTTATGTTTAGGATTTAAATTGCTTTTGTCTGTTTATTGCTTCTGTTTCTTTATCGCATTATTTTGATCGTTCTACTCCTCTTGTCATTATGAACTGAGTTAAATCTTCTTATAAATCAATTTTAATCAGGTTTCCTTTCCAAGTCAATCTCAGATTAGTTTTGCTTCCCAAGATTCTTTGCTTATTTACTTACTCTTCAGGGAAGTTTTAGTTGCACTCTAACTCTTCTATTTGATTGAGGACAATGCAAATCTTACACTGTGGGGTAGATAATTATAGATGTTTTAACTGAATTATTGTTTTATTCTTGAGCAATACTGAGTCAATTTTACTGTTGCATAGAAGATGATATTCCTGAAAATAAAAATAAAAATAAAATAATAAAGATTCATATGCAGTTATTCTAGATATTGGATTTGTGTTTTTGATTGTTTCTCGATTGAAGTATCGGTAGATTTTTTTGATTTGAGGACCTTAAATCTATGCCCTTGAATCTATGCAATTTTTTTTTTTAAGAATCGTTAATATCTGAAAAATTGGGGCTCTGCTCAGAAATAAAAGAGCATGCCATAGAAGCATAACTAGTTGAATGTGGATTGCAGGCAATGTCCGGATACCACATCCTAGAACCCCGAAATTGTTTGAGGTACCGATGTGGAAAGCAAGGGGTGAAATTTTCCATTAATACCTTGTGCTAATTGGGATGGAGCATAAAATGCACCCTACTAGCCGATCATGGCTCAAAGTAAAGAAAATTAAATAACACCTTATGGAAGAATTCAAAGTTTTGAATTAAAATTTTAAGAGCTAATGGTAGAGAGGTCCTTATTTCAATTCTGTCTGAAGTTACAGAGGTCGAGAGCAAAAGAAAGCACAATTTGATGTTTAAGAATTACTTTCCCTCTAAAAATAAAATAAAATAAAAATAATAACAATAAAATAAAAATTCAGGAATTTGATTCTTTGTTGTCAAGGGTAAAATTGATCCATTTCTTTGCTTGGGGACAAGCAATCGTTCAAGTTCGGGGGAATTTGATAAATGCTTTCTATACTTGATCCTACATTGTAATTCATGAATGATAATTGAGAGTTTTAAGCTATTCATTGATAAAATTTACTATTATTAGTTTCATTTTATTTATATTTCAGGAAAAAGGATCAAGAAGTGAAAACCTTAAAGATGTCAAGAATTGAAGAAAAAAAGAAACCAGAGATATACACGGGCAAGTACATGCCCGTGTATATGAGCGTGTATCTCACTGGTCGCGTCAATTGAAGTGTATCATCAAGACCAGAGATGTACACGGCCAGATACATGGCCGTGTACATGAGCGTGTACTTTTATGGAAAGCTTTGAAAGGCATCTATTAAAAAAACAGAGATGTACACGGCCAAGTACATGGGCGTGTACTTTTACGCTCAGAAATTTAACTTTTGCGAGAAAATTAACCCTAGGATAATTTCTATAAAATGAGAACTAAACTCAAACCTAAGAGAGGCGGTTTTTGGAGACGAAAGACTCAGAGACGGCAAGAGGATGGGATTAAGCATTTTATTTCATCTCTTTTGTAATTTTAATTTCAAGATGTTTAGGTTCTAACTTTCTTTTGAGTATCTAGACGTAATGAATCCTAATTGACTAAATTTTCTGGAATTCTTCTAATGCTATTTCATGTTCTTTTCTCTTGGGTTTAATTGAGTAGTATTAATTTTCTCTATCTTGTTTTCTTGTTTGAATTTGAGTAAAATTCTTGCATGAATTTAACATTGCTCAATTAAAAAGACTTGAATGTATTTCTAGAGATAGAAAGACGTGAGTTTTCTGTATTAGGATTAACCCTAATTATGGAATTCATAATGAATTTAATGCAGCCTAGGGGTATTAATTAAGGAAGAGATTCCGATTAATCAACTGAGGGTTAGGAATCATTATCCTTGAGAAAGGTATTGATTTAATTTAGAATTTCCTGCAGCGATAAGGGTTTGGAACTAAGTAGTTGAAGAAGAATTTCAGTTATTTGGACACTTAGGGGGATTTACAGTCTAGATACTTGCCTTTTTACATTGAATACCTTTAGTCATAATTTTTTATAATTTATTTTCAATAGAATATCTGTTTCTTTTAATTTATTATTCTTTTACTTTTAGCAATTTCATCAACAAGGTTTATTTCTCATATTTATTAACAATTACGCAATTAAGGAAAAGTTTCTTAATAACAGTACCTGTGGATACGATACTTGGTACTTTAATTTTAATTTTAATAATATTACTTCGACAACGGGTACACTTGCCCAGTGATCAGTTTTTACACACCAGAGATCTTCATCAGAAGTTGTGTATAGAGCCCTGGCCATAACAGTATGTAAACTACAGTGGTTAATTCTCATTCTCAAGACCTCTAAATACCTTTCGTAAGTTTTACTCTTCTATATTGTGACATTCAACCAGGTAGACAGATAGCTGCAAATTTAGTCTTTCATGAAAGAACAAAACACATTAACATAGATCGTCATGTTGACGAGAAAAACTTAAAGTTGTTTCATTTGCTGCCCATATTCCACCAATCGAGTAGTTGATATATTCACTAAACCTCTTGACCATACTCCCTTTTATCACATTTTACCCAAGCTGGGACAATGCTTGCAGGGTATTAACAAAATAACTGTCAACTGTCTATTAGTTGGTAGTGTAGTTATAATTTTGTTAGTTTTAGTCACTAAGCTAGTAGTATAGTTATTAGTTTAGTATTGTACCATATATATATTTCCACTCATCAAGAGTTGGATACAGTTTTTGATATACATGACATTATATTCAGTACTACACACCTTGTTTTGATTTCATTCCTTTCATCATTTCAGTTATGTTGTTATTTGGTGTTACTCATAATCTCAGTATTACCTTTTGAATATGGAATGTGACCAATTTCTACAAATCATTCTTTAATCTTAGTTGAAAATTTTGAAGTTGCTGAAGGAAGAAGGAATTGTGGGAGATTATTTTCGTGCATGTAAGAATGGCAGTTGGAACATAGGGATGATTACACTTAAGGACTAATGTTTTGTTACTTGACGTATAATGTACCTGTAACTGAACATGTTACTGTGAGACCCTTGGAGTGATTGAATTACATGTTCATGGTTTCATACTACTATGGAACTTAAACATTAGTTGTACTATTATATTCCAACCTACAGAGATATAATTTGGAGCAGGAACATCACACTGATAATGAGTAATGCACTCAAATCTTTCTGTGACATATTTGGACAGTTACATGCTATAACTCAGTAACTGCTACTATCCCACCTTCATTAGACCCTAGGACTCTTTACAACTATCAACTGAAAGACGGTTTTCTTTTCTTGTTTCAAGCTCTGAAGGTATAGTTCAGTGATTGTAAAATATTTTTTCAGTACTAAATGCATAGGGATGGAATTATGCAAATTTGGGTAATTAAAAATACAAATTTTATGCAGTTATACTTAAAATTGATATCGTAGGCTGTTTCCTAGAAAAAATTATTGAATAATCTGAAACTATGTCATCTCGTTCACTCACATCTTGCTACGTATTTAATTTATTTTAAAAAAAAATACATAATACTATTTTCTTATTGTTTGGGACCATATGGTTCAGCATTATGCAAAAAATTTCCGTTCCCTAGACTTCGATTTTAGTGAGGTTTAATTAGTCTTGTACATTGAACTTAAATTGCATTAATATGAAATAAGGTGCTCAAACGGCTATTACCCAACTCGAATTAGGTGTTAGAAAAGCGTGAGTAGGAATAGGATGGATTTGAGAAGATATCCAAATTAGTAATATATGCTAACAAAAGTCAAACTGCATTGTGGCTTAATGGACTCTACTTTAAAACCACAAGAGGCATAATTATACGTCTAATTTACTATTAATCTTTGTTGACTTTTTTGTGCAGTGCCAAGCAATTAAGCAAGGAAACTACACCAAAATGAAGAACAAAGAGTTTCAAATGGCAGCTAATAGTAAATATATAATATCATCCAACGAAAAAGGAAATAAATAAACAAATAAGTTTAAAAATAAAATCAGTTATAAATTACAAGGTAAGTAATTATCTTTATCTTAGCTATTATAAGTTGTAACAACTTTCAGCAATTATCTTTTGGTCAAAGGTGACTTGACTCTTAGTTGTAGAATGTTGTAACAGATGTGTTTCTTTATAAAATTTTATAGTTTAGCAACAATGTTTTATTGAAAAAAATTAAGGGATTATTTAATTTCTGAAAATGTTTTTTTTATTTTTATTGTTTTTAATAAAATTTTATTATTTGTACAAGTTTAGAATCATAAATTAATTTAAATTCTTTTAATATCACTGACTTACTATAACTTTATTTTCATAATAGATTATTTAAATATTTAATTTTGTTAATATATTTTTTAAATATTGAATCTTTATATTGAGGCCGATGTCCCTATCTTTATTCTGATTAGTCCCTAAACATTAACAATAGCACCTAATCCTAAATTTATAAACAATATACCTATTTCTTAAAAAAAACAAAAAATTTAAATTCAGAACTTGAAAATCTTTTAATAAGATTTTCTCATCGAAAACACTAGATAACATATTTGCATTATCTTTTAGTCTATTAATTGAAACTAGATAAATATAATGATAAGTATAATTTGTTTGATTTGTTTAAATAATAAACATCTTATCATGAGAGACACAACAATTATGGAATTGACCTCTTTTAATAATGCGGCAAGGCATAAGGAAACATTCTACAAGTCGTCATTCCGAGAGGAGACATAGAAGAATTCAAAAAAATAGTGAAGGATTATCATTAACACAATTTCTCAATTACATAGGTTGGTTACCACTTCCAAGTCTCCATTCTCAACTATCAAATGAAGAAAGATCATCGTCAACACAAATTTTTAGTAGAATAGATTTATCACCACTTCATAGTCTCTATAATTGTATTGTTGACTATGGTAAGCATTTTGAAAAGAAGCTAACAATTAGTAACATAAGAGCAAGTCAAAATAGGCTATTACTCAACATTGTGGCAAAAATATCTGTTAGTACCTGTGATATGAATGGTAATGTGTTCTCTATGAAGTTAAAAAAAATGAACAAATAAATATTATATCCTTAGTAAGAGTTGGAATAACTTTGTTGAAACCCATGGATTAAGGATATGTGAAAGTTTTATTTAAGTATAGATATTTTATCATTTAACACTCAATAATTTATGTTTTGTTTTTAGTATAAGAAATTTAGAGGAGTCATAACATGTGAAGACTCCAAAAACAGATAATGGCAGGAGAGTTTCGGTTGCCTGACACTACCTTGGTTGTATTGCTGGCCTTTATTGTGCATTGTATATAAAACATAAAATATAAATTGCCAGTATGCCAGATCATGGATCCCTTCTTGACTCTGCCAGAACATTAAACATAAATTGCTTTCACACAACTATATGAACAATCGATGTTTTATTTAGAGTTCCTTAATCTTTGTTGGTGAACTAACGACACTACCTCTATAGATGATCGGATTGCATGTGAAATTTTATCAAATATATTTGTTTTTTCTGGTTCAAAATTTTAGTATTTTGAAAGTGTGTATACGTTAGTTGCAGTTTATCCTTCCTAAATTTATTTCTAATCTAATGGTTTGCAATTCACCTTGTGTAGAATAATAAAAATACATACTGTCATGTGTCATGGAGGAGAAATTATTTGTAATATTTAATAAAAAAGAATTAAAACTTCTTTGAAGCAAAATATATATATATATATATATATATATATATATATATAAGTGTGTGTGTGTTTTGTTAATATTTATATAAATAAAATTGACAAATTAACATAAATTTAATATGTTTATAGTTTGATTCAATTTTTTGATCTACGTGTATTTACTTACTCTAACTTTAAGTATTTAAACTGAATTTAACATAATTATCTTTATTAGTAGAGACTTAAACTTAAAAGCATAAATTAAACTGAAATTAACATTGTGTCAATTGATTCACATGGTAGATGATAATTTGATTCAATTTAGCTTAATTTTTAATATAAAAATTTAAAACTAAATGAGTAAGAAATTATATTTTTTTGTTATTAATTTATTTAATTTTTAAATATTAATTTAACATATTAGAACTGTTTGGATTGGTTCTTAATACACTTTTTAATCATTCTTTTTTCACTAACACTAGTTACTATAAATTGGTTATGAGCCGTTGTGGTTGGACTAAGGACATGAAAGAAGGAAGTATTGCATGAAAAGATGTTTTTGTAAAGAATAAGAAATATTTTAAGTTTTTTAATTATTTTAGTTTTGGTATAGAGTCAAATGCCTTATTTCGATCAAATTGTCATGTCACCACCACTTCCATCTATTCACCTTGAATAGACTACAACTCATACTCATTTTGAATTCGACTATGATCATAAAAGCTTCAACTATTGCATGGACATATTTTCACTATTTGATATTCATAATAAAATGTTAGTTTTATTGGACTCATGCATATCATACCAACGTTGAGTGCATTTTCATATTAAACGGTTTTAATATCAAGTATAGATAACATAAATCTACCTCAACTAACAATATAAACAAGAAATCCCTTAACCCAAAAATACTATCTTTATCATTCCATACTTTTATTTTGACTAAATTTTCACTTACTTAAATGTCAAAGTATTATTGCAAGAATATCAATCCTTTGAAATTTTCATAGCATTGTGAGAGTCCTTTCTCAATCCTTCTTAGCCTTCAAAAACCATCAATACTAAGTATTTAGGTTACCTTCAATACTATGGTATCAAGTCTTTAAAAAAATTTAGTAATAAATAATTGTAAATTTTATATAACATATTTTTAATATAATAAACATTTTTATATTGAAAAATTATTGTTAAAAATTTAAACTTGACCTGCGAATTATGATTAATAATTTTTGTACATTTAAATACAAATTTAAAATATCTATATAAAAATAATATATAATATTGTGAGTATATGTATATGTATGCAAATTTAATTGCAAAACAGGTTTAATCAGGAAAATCCATGCCCAGATAAATATGATTTTTCCTATCTAAATTGGGTCAGGACTGAACGAATATCTATTGATTCTAATTTTATTTTTATGCCCAGTATTCATATTTATTTTAATATTTTTCATTGATAAAAATGATTTTGTTCATCTTGTAGATGGAATAAGTTATAGACGTAAGCAAATACAGATAAACGTGATAACTCAATACAATTAATCCAAACCACAAAACAAAAATATGTGTTAATTCAGAATTGTTAATTTAGTTTGCTTCAAATAATAACATGCCCTGTTTAATTAGTTTTTGTCTTAGATTTCGAGAGTATAAATTCAATGTCTAGATGACCTAATCCATTAAAGTTTAAATCTTTTATTTGATTTTGTTGGAAGCATACTTTTGTAGAGCTAATTCTATTCTTGATCGTTTGTTAATATTTCAGTATACTTATAATTTAGTTGAATATTTGGCTTAATTGTTTTGAGTTATGACTTTAAAAGATACATGATATTATGTCTTTTATTTGATGAATTTTAAACGTTGTTGTGTTTCTTAGTTAATAAATTTTGAGCTAAATATTTTTTTAAAAGTTATAATAAATAAAACACACTCAACTTTTTTTAACTTCTCCTATTTGTTATAAATTTATCTTTTTAAAAATTTTCCTAATAGTTTCAGATCTTTATTTTTAAAAAATAAAAGATCCGATCACCCAAACTTTAGATTAATTTGATTGAATTTACTTAATGAATAACAGCTAATCTGAACCAAACCTTAAAACAAACATTTTTTTACCTAAATTTGAACCAATCTAGTAATTACAACAAGGAATAAGCTTATGTTTTCTATGTGTTTATTTAAGAAGGGTATGGGTATGTATCTTAATCTCACTGTCTTTTTCTCATTTAATTTTTCAGTTCTATGCATCTCACTGTCTTTACAACTTGTATTGAAAGAGAAGAGGAAAGTGATGTGCGACATTGATCCCGAAGGGCATTTGCAAGCTAAACGTTTTTGTTGCCTATGATAGTAGGAAAGCAATGCCTCATTTTATTCCATCATATTCGTTCAATCAAAACCATTGTTCACAATAAAAGAAAATTATTAATAGAGATTAGTTCGAGTGGTAAGTTCACTCGATATCACTTAAATAAGATCTTAGATTCGAGCATTTGTGTATAAAAAAAAATTTAATGGTAGAATTATTCATCATATTTAGATAAGCGGCCCGGATTAAACTGAATAAAAAACTATAAAAAAAAAGTAGAAAGAAAATAAATGAAAATGTATCCTAAAAAAAAAAAGGTTGCATCATGTTAATTTACTCATTCATATACTTGCCTTTACAAAAGTGTATCGGTAGGTTTTCTATTTCTCAAAACTAATACACATGCAAAGGCTAAAAATCTTGATAACTTTCTAAGCTGAACAAATTATGGAAAAATAGATCTTCAAACAAGTTAATGTTTGGAATAATTAATAAATAATTTTATAAGTTTTATAAGATTTTTAATTTATTTTAATATTGTTTTAATATAAGATATTAAAATAAGTAATTTTTACCTTATTTTATAGTTAAATTTATAACATAAATATTAATGTAAAAAATTATTCAGTAAATATTTAATTAAGTTACTTATCTAAACACACTTAATCTATAAATAATGTTTAAATTTTATATATTTATTATAGCTTGTTGACTAAATATTTATATTATATTTTTAGAAACAAACATGTTTATTTATATATTAATATAAAAATTCAAGATAATATTATTTTTATCAATACTCTTTTATCTATATAAAAAATTATATAAAATAAATAAAATATCTATATTAATTAACTAATTTTTAAAAAATCCAACGAAGAAAAATATATTCAAAAAATACAATATAAATTTAACAAAATAGTTTAAAAAAGTCACGTGTTCAATAAAAAAAGTTGTATAAATTTTTTACAACCATAAAATAGATAAAAGAAAAGTTTATATATATATATATATATTTATTTATTTATTTATTTATTTATTTTATTTTTATGGAGAAACTAGTTGGATTAATGTTTGAAAGGGAAAAAAAAATTGAAACGAAGTCTTTTAACTTTGTTACGTACATAATTTTTTGAATGTTAAATGTACCAATAACCTCACGAAAATTATATATATTTGTTTTCCTTTTCCCAATGATCCTTTGCTTTGAATCGAAATGAAGTGGTCTTTCAATTTCATAGAACAAGCAAGTTGAACAGAACAAGTTGCATTCCAAAGACAAGGATGCAAGTGACCAGTGCACTGCTATTTCCAGTTCCACCAAATATCAAATGCTCTTTACCTTCTCCGAAATTGTAAACTACCCAAAAAAGAAAATTGGATGAGAGGAAGTGATCCAAATGTTAAGAATTTTGACTAGCATTTTCTTTCATCACCACACAAAAACATTTATTCTTTTAGCATTTTTCATTTTCAAATTTCAAGTTATTCAAAATTAGACCTGACCAGACCATGTCTAAGAATGTATTTGGTTGCTTGTTCAAAATTTGTTGCATGCACTGAGAAGGAGAAAATAAGAAAGTTGTAGGTGAGGCCACACTTTTTAAAAAGTCATTCCTCATCTAAAAATATTCAAAAACATACACTTATGTTCAATAAATCTTATTGATTATTTTTAAATACTTCATTTTAAAAGTATTATATACTTACCTCTTAAATGATATAATTCTATGAATTAAATATTTGTCTGACTCCAATTTATAGGAATTTTTTAAATTATGATAATAGTTATTAGTGAATACGAAAACTATTTTAAAAAAATCATATAATTATAATTTTAAAAGTTTCTAAAAATAGTTTAAATTAATGAAAAAAGTAATAAAAATATGTATTTCTAAAACTTTAAATTTTATGTAAAATTAAATCATAAAATTTTTATTAAACATTAATAAAACAGATTATATAATATGTTATGAATCATTTATCCCTAAATGATAAGTAAATATAATTTACTTTATTAATTAAATATTATACACACAAATATAAAGTGATACCATCGTATAAAAAAAGTATAAAGCTGACTGCACTTTTAGTTTGGAGATATAATTATAATTAATATAATTATAATTATTTATATTTAGTTTTTATTATAACTAAAGATCATAGAGTGTCGTGCAAATAATACAAAATTAAGTTTTAAAGTAAACATTTATTTTAATTAAAATAGGTAATGTTGTTCAAATTTAACTCTTCAATTTTAAATTTTAGTTTATGAGATTAGTTGATCATCAATTATATTAGTTTTTATAGTTGAGAAACATTAAAAGTGAGTGATAGAGTAATAATATGTCACGTTAAGTGACACATGTCTGTTTATTCTACACACAAAATAACGTTATTTTATAATTTTTCAAAAATAATTTATTTTTGTCCTTAACTTTTGTAACGCTTCGAATTTTTGTAATATTAATTATTAATAATTATATAAATATAAATGTATATTCATGTGTGTATTTTTTTTAGATATATATGTTATGAATATGTGTGTGTGTGTGTATATATATATATATATATATGTGTGTGTGTGTGTGTGTGTGTGTGTGTGTGTATGCATGACTGGTTGAGTTGAAATGGGCTAAGTACCTAAGTACAAGGCGAGATACTGGACTGTTTTCGCTGCAGCGAGAGGGCCCTGGGAGGAAGGACCATAACTGTCGTCTTCTCGCTGTAGCGAGAGACGTCTCGCTGTAGCGACAGTTTGGGGTGCATTTCTGGGTGCAATCTCGTTGTAGCGAGACTCTGCAGAAACCAGAGTGCAGTTTTCTCTGATTTTTTCGTTGTAGCAAGAGGGCGTGTCGCTGCAGCGAGACGTCGCGACCAGAAAAAGATTTAAAGGAGATTAGAGTTTGAGGAGAGTTATTTCTTCCTCTCTCTTCGAAATTCCTTTGATCCTTTCATTCCCAAAGCCCTATTCCACCAATTAATTGCCTCCAAAGCCGTTCAGAAGCGAGATTGGAGCTCAGATTTGTGTGGGAAACGCTTGGAGGTGAGTTTTAAACGGTTAAGGTTTTCGATTTCCTTCCTTTTCTCTGTTCTTGGTGATTTTCGAGGTTCTCATGGAATTCTTCCATGTGTTTAGGCCAAAAGTCGTGTGGGGAGCATTTCTGTAGTTGAGTTCAGACGTGGGTCTTCAATCCGAGGTAAGGGGAAACTATACCCTACTCTTTGTATGCGATTTACTGTTATTTAGTTGAATATTGTGATGTGGCTGACTAGATGATAGGAAATTACTGTGAAATATGATGTGAGCCATGTGCCGTGATATATGAATATTATGTGTATGGATGAGAGAATATGTGGTTGATGGAATTTTGCTATGTATTGCGGTGTGTGATCAAATGTGGGCTCGAGGGCCGTGTAATATAGATGAATATTGGCTATGTGCCGTGTATTTGAACGCAATGTGGGCTGTGTGCCGTGTGTAGGCATGATTATTGCATGCGTGAATGGAATATGTGTGAATAAGCGTGTTAGCGCCGTTGTAATGTGATGTGAATGGTTCAGCGATACACTGAGGGTGTGGGAGATGAGGACGGTAAAAATACCTTGGGGAAGAGGGAGTGGTGGTGACACCGACTGCAGAACGGGTGCACCATGGGCCACACACTCTCTTCCTGACTAGACCTCTGATCATTATCTTTGCTGAGCGACCCGTGACTGCTCACGTGGTATTCATAAAACGGGGATAACCGGCGACCATTCATGGTGTAAATCTGTGATCACAGTGCTGCCGTGAATGTGGCTGACATGCATATGCATTGAGTTTATGAATTATACTTATGGATATGAAATGTTGTTTGTGTTGTGCTTGGTTAATGTATTGAAAATATTCTGGAGGTGAGACTCTATGTTGATTGTGTGTTTTGGGTAGTGTAAAGTACTTATCCTTACATTCATTTTTCAGGTAATCAAGACGATCAACACCAGACTCAGTGAAGGGGTGGATGAAACTACTATAGGACTTAAGATATTATTTGAAAACTATTATATTTGAATAAGTCATGTAGCAACTGTTTGATATAATTCGTAACCTCTTTCTTTATTTGAAATGGTTTATGAAACTTGAATCAAAATGAACATTTTATTATTCCAAAAAAATTTGTGAAATTCCTTATTTATTGAAATTAAAATTTAAGGTGTTACAACTTTTAACATATTCGGTCAATAAGGTTTTTTCTTCGTCTTTTGTTTCGTCTTTCTTCTTTTCTCTGGTCACCTCTGTAATAGTGTTCATGCTACAAAATTCCTTTTTTTTAAGTTTTGTCATCTAAACCACGAAATTGAACTCTCACATGAAGACTTTGATAAATACAAAAAGGACTGATTTTTTGTTCAAGGTGAATGATGATTTCTCATAATTGGAGGAGGCGACATTAGAGGAGTTGATGGGAAATAGGATTTACGGAGTATGAAGTGTGGGGTGTGGAGTGGATTTACAAAAATGTTGGATATGAAAGTAGTTTCGGTGGGTGTGACAATGGAGAGTGAGAGAGGGATGGTTGGGAGATGATATTTGAGTTTATAAGAACTTGAACTTATTAGGCTATTTTTAGGAGAGAAAGAATGATATCTTGTATTGAATGAAAGAGAGAACTATGGAGAGAAGGAGAGAGTTAAGCAATTGTAATGAAAAGAAGGCGAAATACATACATTGAAAGAAGGAATGTCATACCAGAGGACAAGAAGAATACACACTATGGAGACAGGTAAAGCAAAAGATAAGGAAAAAGACTTTATTAATAAAAAATGTTAAAAGTCAAGACAAAAATAAATTATTTTTAAAATATTATAAAATAATGTCATCTTGTATTCATAATGAATTGATAAGTACCATGTCATCAATTTGTTACTTAATTTTAATATCTTTTAATGATAATAATTAATATGATTGATAATTATTAATTTCAAAAATTAAAATTTAAAAACTAATAAAAATAGAATTAAGTATTTTAAGGATTAAAATGAGAATTTGTTTCTAATTTTTATTTGGTCTAGCATAAATAAATTTAAATTTTACTAAAGTGAAGTTTAATTTTCAAGTACAAAAGTTCCTATTACATAAATATATCACAATTATATAAGAGGCAACATATTATTTTATTTTTGTTTAAAGTTACAAGTTATAAATACCTAAGACAACAAAATAAAAAATCATCCATTCATGATACACATGATACATTGTTTTCTTAAATAACGGTATAATAAATAAAATGGCCCCCTTACTAACTAGTTAGATGCATTGATTTATTTACTTGTTCTACTACTTATCATATTTTCATAATTAATAATTTAAATCTTCAATTATTCTTCATACTGCCAAAAAATTTACAAATATATTATATTAATAATCATTAACAATAACATAAAACAAAAATAAAACATGTGCCACTTTTATTTCTTTTCATTTTTTTCCACTTTGAGTAATAATAAAATATATTAATAAAATTTATAAATTTGTAATTAAAATTTTTATGAGTATTTGTAATACCCTCAATTTTGTTGCCCTTATCTTAGAAAATAGGAATTTTGGTGTAAAGTTTTTTTCTCAAGTGAGATAGAGTTTTTTAAGAAAAGGTATTCTGGAGTATTCTTATTCAAGCGAGAAGAATCTCACTTAAGTAAAATAGGATGAAGTTACTCCAACTATCCACTCGCCCAGGCGAGATGATGTTTGTCTAGGCGAGAAGTCGTAAGAAAATAAGGAGCTCTCTGGACCCATTCTCGCTCAGGCGAGAATATGTCTTGCTCAGGTAAGAATATCAGAAAATTGGGTAAAACTATTGATTGATTTTCTCTCCCAAGCGAGGAGGGGTTCGCTTAAGCGAGAACGTGAGAATCCGCTCACTCAAGAGAGAATGCGCGAGTTTGTAGGGGTATTTAAGGAACTGCAATTCCTGAATTTTCATTTTAGAATCAAACAACTTTCCCTCTTGTTTCTCTCTTTTCTCTCACGTTTTCTACTCAAAGAAAACTCTCTCAAACCCTAAATCTTTTCCAAATTCGAGCTCGAATGTCTATTTCATTCAGGTCCAAGTAAGTTTCTTGGAGCTTAGTTCTCCAACTTCATTCCTATTTCTCAGTTTTTTTCTTAATCTAAAGTTTATGCTTTGTAATACTCAAGGAAACCTTTATTTGTAAGACGATATCTTCCATCGGGAACGTTGTACTTCTCTCTTGGATCTCTAGAAGAACTCGATCTAAGAAACCTATTTTTATGTAAGGCGAGTCAATCCCAAACCCTAAGTCTCATCTATGTATTTTGATTCAGAAAAACCCGTACTACTTTATTCTAAATAACTAAATTGTGAGGCTTTTCCTTAAAATC